CCTTCTGTCCCCCTCCCCCCTCTGTCCCCCTCTCTTCTACAAAGTTGTAGGATAAGCCATACTTCATTCAACCGGGCCTTGGGACACTTGGTTTCCTCATGAGGGGACAGCCGTGCATGAAGAGGGACAGGTGTCAAAGGTCAGAGCCTGGAAACCCAGTGACCAAAGTGCCTGACAGGCAGGCCAGCAGCTGGTGAGGAGGCTCTTCCCAGCAGGTAACTTTTTTTCAATGAAACCCCATTACTTTTCCCACCAACACAGACCTGGAAAGACCTGCCCCATCTGAAGGCTGTAGTGATATATGGAGAAGCACCTCCAGAGAAGATGGCCAGTGTGTACACGGTACGTGTGGAGGGGCATGGGGGGCAGGGGGGCCAGTGCGGCCGCCCTGCTGACGGAGCGCCCGCGCTCACCCACCCGCTGCAGATGGAGGAGCTCATGGAGCTGGGGGATGAGCTGCCCGAGGAGGCCCTGGACTCCATCATCAACACCCAGCAGCCTAACCAGTGCTGCGTGCTGGTCTACACCTCCGGCACCACCGGGAGCCCCAAGGGCGTGATGCTAAGTCAAGACAATGTAGGATGGAGCCCAGATGGGTGGGCTTGGCTGCAGGTGGATCTGGACACTGGACCTGCCCTAGCAGCCCCTGGGGACACTCTTCTGGCCCCTCAGCCCGGGGGGTGGGGGGAGTCAGGACACGTAGGACAGCCTTTGGGTCTGTGGTCCAGACCGAGTCCAGTGAAGGGGATGGGGAGGGGAGGCCTGTTCTGCGAATTCCCCGCAGGGATGCCCTGGGTGGGAGGAGGCCCTGAAGAGGTCGCCTGAGCCCCCAGGGTGAGCACTTCCAGGGCTGGCTGGGAGACACTGCCGGGGCCCATGTGCTTGTCCTCCAGATCACGTGGACAGCACGGTACGGCAGCCAGGCCGGCAACATCCAGCCCGCGGAAGTCCAGCAGGAGGTGGTGGTCAGCTACCTGCCCCTCAGCCACATCGCCGCTCAGATCTACGACTTGTGGACGGGCATCCAGTGGGGGGCCCAGGTCTGCTTCGCTGAGCCTGACGCCCTAAAGGTCAGTCCGCCTCCGCCTGAGCGGGGGTCTGAGTTCGTGTGCCGCACACCCACCTGAGTGTGCACCCGTGAGCGTGCGTGTGAGTGGGCGGGTCCCCCGTGCATTTACGGGTCAGCACTCTTCCCCCACAGTCAGTACGGCCCACATGACCAACCGAGAGGTGGCTGACGGTGGTATGTAGAGGAGAGGGGTCCACATGCCGTCAAGGATAGGTGGTCCTCAGAGGAAGGCCACAGGTGGCCGCAGCACCACCCTGCTTCCCAGTCTCATCAGCTACCCCCCATTCTTTGGAAACGTATTTTAAGCATGAGGAGAGCTCTCCCAGACGCCCCCTGGCACACCTCCCCCACCTGCACCTCCTGGCCCAGATCGTCCCTCGTCCGTTCCTCTACTGGTCACTGCCTAAGGGGGATGGTCATGTTCGGGTTAGAGAGGAAAGAGCGGCCGCCCCCAGGGCTGGGAGGGGACCGAGGAGCCTTGAAGCATCTGGCCACATGAGCAGCGGGGATGGCCGCCCAGGGGCGGCCGACAGCCTGGGACACGTTGTGTGCAGGTGTGTGCACCTGTGCAGGATGCCTGTGGGGTGTGTGCACCTGACTCTGGTGTGAGGGGCCTCCGGGCACTGAGCCGGCAGGCCTTCCTCTCTGGTGCTGGACAGGGGAGCCTGGTGAACACGCTGCGGGAGGTGGAGCCCACGTCCCACATGGGGGTGCCTCGAGTGTGGGAGAAGTTCATGGAGCAGATCCAGGCGGTGGCGGCTCAGTCTGGCTTCATCCGGCGCAAGATGCTGCTCTGGGCCATGTCGGTGACCTTGGAGCAGAACCTCACCTGCCCAGGCAGGTATGGAAGGCCAGGGGACAGGAGGCCGGCGGGGGGCAGCAGGGCTGGGGCATAAGGCCAGCATGCACCTGAGGGTCTGCTGGGCTGGGCTTGTCCTGGGGACCCCTGTGCAGAGGCCCCATCAGGTGCTGGGCTGGAGCCCTCTTCCAGGCCCCACAGGAGATGGTCACCCCACCTCTGGGGTCTGACTCGCTCCCACTGGGTGGCATTCCCCTCCCCCGAGCTCCTCACAGTCTCCTGAGGGGTTTCCTGATGCAGCAGGGGGCCAGGGAAGGGGCCACAGTGACGAGCCCTCTTCCGGGCTTTCCAGCCTCCGAGTGACCACAGAGCCTGCCGACTGGTTTTCAAATTCCCACATAGTGCACAGTGCTGGGGGAGGGGCCATGGCATAAACCTGGCCTGTTCCACGTTAGAAATGTTCTCCCTCACTAGCAAGTCTGGGAAGTGGTATCATGTCCCGTGAGATGCGTACGCATGTCTGCAAACACGGCCTCGTGTGCACAGACACGGGGAGTGAGTATCCGTGCACGACTCATTTGTGGGCTTCAGATGGGGTCACGCCCGTTGGCCCCGCGCGTCCAAGCAGACATACTTCAAGTCCCCGCGCCTGTGCACCCCCAGCCCGCTTGGCCTCCGGGCTCAGGACGTAGTGCACACCAGTGCACACACACCCGCGCGTGCGTGCTCGCTCACAACGGCCAGCCAGCGTGCACCCGCCGAATACCCACCTTGCTCCTGTGAGCGCGTGTGGGTTCCTCCGTGGACCATTCCCCCTCCCCCCGCAGCGACCTGAAGCCCTTCACGGCCAGACTGGCAGATTACCTAGTGCTCGCCAAGGTCCGCCAGGCGCTGGGCTTTGCCAAGTGTCAGAAGAGCTTCTATGGGGCTGCCCCCATGACCGCTGAGACGCAGCACTTCTTCCTGGGCCTCAACATCCCCTTGTACGCGGGCTACGGCCTCAGCGAGACCTCGGGCCCCCACTTCATGTCCGGCCCCTGCAACTACCGGCTCTACAGGTACACGCGGGCCCACCCGCCCTGGCTGGCACCCTGGGGCCACCTATGTGTGGGTCCCCAGTGCCAACACTTCCGGCCTGTCCCGGGCCCGTGGTCTCTGCCGTGGTCACCGGGGCCTGAGGTGGGAAACCCTTACAGTGCTGGCCCCTCCGAACGCGGTCCTCCCTCCGACCCCTCCCTCCTGCAGGGCACGGTGTGTCCGAGGCTGTCCCCGCATCTGATGCCCGGGGCCACTTGGCCAGGGGCCGTGGGGGAGAGGGGGAGGTGGGAGGACAGGGCCAGCCCTCCCGTGGGCAGGCAGGGCAGTCAGCTCTGGGGGATTGGAGGGATCCCCTGTCGGGCTTAATGACACCCCCCCTGCTGGCCCCTCACTGAGGTTGACCTTGTGCCCTCCCTTCGCTCCTTCCTTCCCCCTCTTCCCCACTTCCTTCCTCCCCCTCCCTTCCTTCCT